TGTTTTTCAAGAGTATTTACCACTCATCTACAGGTTTTTAAATTCAAAAAATTCTTTTTTAATTTTTCGTAAAATTTTCAAGTTTCATGGTTTTTCACTTGGCGTTTCCGATATTTTGGTAACAAAAAAAGCTGATGCTCAAAGAAAATCTTTAATTGAAGAATTGCGATCTTGCGGGAATTCTGTTGTTCAAAAAGCCTTTTCCTTACCAGAGGATACTTCATTTGATAAAATTAGATACACATTGGCATCAACTTATAACCACCCAAGAGATCGAGAAATGGTTAAAATGGTTGATTTTTCAATGAAACAAGCAATAAATAAATATGCAGAACAAATTAATAGGTTATTTTATTATTATTTACCTAAGGTAATTTTTGGGTATGAATCAAAATTTTAAGTTGAACAAAATCTTTAATCGTTTGGGTCATGTTGTTCTGACAGTGGAATCTCGCGAGCTATGACCATAGGGCTTCAAAAAGCAGCTGACATGAGATTTTTGGAAATCTTCGGACATTTGTCTATCCGAAACTGGGGACCCTCCTCCTGTTGGTTATTATTTCGGATTGTCGGGCAAGATTTAGTTACGTCCACTCTTAATATTGGCGCTCAGCGGATTCTCAATTTATTTTTATGTTTATTGAAAAGCATTTTTAATAATTATTTCCATAATTTAGTGCTTGTGTTCCTTCCGGCTTAATTAAAGATTTTCCACGAAACTCACTTCAATTAATGATACAATCTGGTGCTAAAGGTTCATTAGTCAATTCCATTCAAGTAATTATTTAATTCTATTATTATTAAATTTTTATAAAACAATAGATAAGTTGTGCACTTGGCCAAATTGAACTGGAAGGTCAACGACCAGCTCTTTCAATTACTGGTCGATCTTTACCTTCATTTAGAAGTTTTGACCCATCCCCTAGAGCTGGAGGGTTTGTTGAACAACGTTTTCTGACTGGGATTAATCCACAAGAATTGTTTTTCCACACAATGGCTGGACGTGAAGTTTGTGATCTATTTCTTTTTAAAATATATCTTTATTACATAGTTTATCTGTTAACATAAAATTTATGTATCTTTTGATTATTTTGTTAAATTTTAAGGGTCTGATCGACACGGCTGTCAAAACTTCTCGTTCCGGTTATTTACAACGATGTATTATTAAACATTTGGAAGGAATTTCTGTTCGTTATGACAATAGTGTGCGGAATTTTGATGATAGTATTATTCAGGTATAAAATTTTGATAGTTTTTTAGGCATCAAATTCTGTTTATATATTTATTAAATTTTTTCAAGTTCCGCTATGGAGAAGATGGTCTTGATGTTGGACGTTCAACATTCCTCACTTCAAAACAATTTCCATTTCTTGTTGAAAATATTGAAGCTATACAAAAATTATTTATTCCATCATTCGATAATCCCGAAGAAGAAGAAAAAAAATGGAATTTATCTGAAACTGAGAAACATTACAAAAGGATATCTAAATTTAAACAAAGCAGAATTCTTGAATTAAAGGTTAATTTTATATTTTATTTGAAATAATCGTGTTGAATAAGGAGTGGATCTGGTATTTTTAGTTTATTTTACTTTCCTTTTTTGGCTTCGAAAATTGTAGAATTATCTTTAAATTTAAACAGGATAAAAATCTGAATGTAGATATTGCGAATATCTGCAAGAATAAACGATTTTCTGCTTTTAATCAATTTCATCAAAGTGTAGATTCAAATTATCTATTGAAAGATTCATTAGTTGCTGATTGGAATAAATTATCTAAAGAAGAAAGAGAAGTTTTTATTCCTAAAGATTTGAAGCCACCAGAGCCTGTTGATGTTGTTAGTTTTCAATAATCTTTTGAGTATTTTTTCTCTTAAATTTTCTAACAGGTTTTCCATCCTGCTACCAATCTTGGCTCACTTCCAGAATCTTTTTTGAATCAATTAAATAATTTTGCTCAAAAATCTAAATTAGACGGCAATCTAAATTTATTCAAAAGATCAATTTATTGGAAAGGCCTCCGTGCTTATGCTGATCCAGGAGAGTCTGTTGGACTTTTAGCTGCTCAATCTATTGGAGAACCATCAACACAAATGACTTTAAATACTTTCCACTTTGCTGGAAGAGGTGAAATGAACGTTACTTTAGGAATTCCTAGATTGAGAGAAATTTTGATGACACAGGGGAAATCAATTGCTACACCTATGGCTGAGGTAAAAAATTAAAAAATATTTTTGAATATTTAAAAATTATTCTTAATTTTCATTTTTAGATTTGTATTCGTCCTGAAGTAACTGAAGAACAAGTTCAACAACTAAAATCGGAATTTAGCCCCATAACTCTTAGACATGTTTTGAAAAATTTTAGTCTTGTTGAAGGAATTGTTGCTAGAGAGGATGGGTAATTTGAATTTTTTATTGTTAAAATCTTTTAATTTTTAGACTTTGTTATCGTCAATATATTGTTCGACTTGAATTACTTAAAAATAAAAAACGTGATCAAATTGCTCGCCATTTGCGTAGAAAGAAAATAATGCTTGAAATTGAAAGTCGTTTTGTTCCTTTACTCTCTACACATTTAATAAAAAGGGATAAAGATGTATTTGAACAACAACAGATTCAACAAAGGTTTAAAGAAATTTTTGTCAGAATTATTTGAAAATTTAAATCAAAATATTTCTTTAAATTTAGAAAAATTCGTGGCAACGATAATGATGCTGGTGGAGAACAAGTAGAAACAAACAAGAAAGGACAAGTATATTTAATTATAAATTCTTAACAAAATTTCTTTTAAGGATGAATTCTTAGCTAGCGATGAAGAAGATGCAATGGCTGATTTACAAGGAGAGTTAGATGCACACGAAGAAAGGTTGAATAGACGTCATTTGGATGGAATGGCTGAATATGAGGGTGAAGAACAGGCATGTGTTTTAAATATAATTTTTAGAAATCAGAATATTCTGATTTTGTTAAATAATTTTTGTACTCCTCTCGCTTCCTTCTAAAATTTAGTGATATTTATTATTAACCTTGGAAAACCGAGTCTATTCAGAAATTAAAAAGCGAAATTGAAAAACTTTGCGTGTGACAATAATTGTTATTGCAGTCACATCGATTTTAGAAATTTTAATTTTCTAAATAAAAATTTTTAGGATAGAGGAGATTCTGGTATTGTTGATGAATTTGATGATGAACTTATTGAAGCAGAAGAAGAAAAAGACGATAGTGAAGCTGAACTCGCTAATGATGACGATAAAGATGATAATGAAAAGGAAGACCCAAATAATTTAAAAAATGAGCATAAGTTTATTGTTGACGAGGAAAGGGTTAATGTAAGTTTACAATAATTTGGACTTAAAATTTGATCAAATTTGGAAAGATAAAAATAAAAAATAAATCAGGATTTTAGACTTGAAACTCGTATTAAAAATCCTGTAAATTTAAAAGTTGTCATTCTATCGTTGAACAAGAATAATTAGAAAATAAGATAATAAAAAATTATTTTTTTCTTAAGATGGTAACTAAAGGTTGTGTTAGACAATATGTTTATGATGTTCGTAAGGAGCGTTGGTGTTCAATTACTTTTGAGGTAATTTTTAGAAATTTTTTATTAAAAAATCATATTTAAAGTTACGTCTTCGAAATAAATGTGAAATTGATGTGCCTGCATTAGTTGAAAGAGAAATTGACAAATTTATAGTAACACAAATTAATAAAGTTGAAAAATGCGTGATTAGAAGTGAAGAACGTAATGGGAAAATGATACAAATACTTCAAACACAAGGAATTAATTTGGAGGTATTTGAAGGGGGGGGGGTGGAATTTTTAATTTCAAATCTTTAATTATTTAAAGGCTTTTTACAATCGAGTACAATTTTTGGATGTTAATACTATTTATTCAAACGATATTAATGTTATGCTAAATTGTTATGGTGTAGAGGCTGCAAATCGAACTATTGTTAAGGTATTAATTTTAAAAATAAATTTTAGGAATTGAAAAAATTATTTAAAGGAAATGAATAATGTATTCGGCGTTTATGGAATTGAAGTTAATCCAAGACATTTAACATTAACTGCTGATTATATGACTTTTGGTGGGGATGTCCAAGCTTTTAATCGTACTGCAATGGCTCATAGCCCCTCACCCTTACAGAAAATGACTTATGAAACTACAATGGTTTTCATGCAAAAGGCTATAGTTTCTGGTAAATAATTGTTGAAATATTCCCCAAAACATTAAATTTTTCTACTTTCAGGTCATTCTGACTCTCTCTTTTGCCCTTCAGCTCGTATAGTTATGGGTCAATTAATTAGAGAGGGTACTGGATCTTTTGATTTATTAACATCTCCAGAATATGCTTTATATCGGCCAAACAAAAAAGAATTTGAAGAAAATATTAGACCGATATCAGAAACTAGTAATAAAATTGAACAAATGAGAAGAAAAAGGCATAGAAGAAAAACACAATTTCACATAAAAATGTAAATGTTGTTGAGTTTTTTTTAATTTTTGTTAATTTTTTTGTTGTTATTCAATGTTTTAAAATCGAAATTTTTTAATTTTTTTTATGACGCGGGAAAAATTTTTTGAAGGCCAAAATAAATTTCATAAATAATGATCGCCATTATTATTCCAATGTTTAATTGTTTTGATGTCTCATCTTCCTTAACAGGTTTTCAATTGCAATAACTTCATTCATTGATGCTCTACCTGTTGCATCTGTTGAAAATATTGTATATAAATTTCTCTACATTTGTCTAAAGTAGCCGAATTATTGAAATAACCGTAAGTTGAAAGAATGTAAAATGTTGAAAAAATATAATAACACATTTTGCATTTTTCATAATTTTCGCTTGCGGCGCTAAGAATTTAAGAAATTATGTCTCGAAATCAGAACTATTCCTGGGTAATAATAAATGTATCTGAATAAGGGATTTTGGAAGCCAAATTTTTATTAAATATTCGTTTTTTTCATAATATGTATCATATGCATACATTATAAATATAAAAACACGAATATGTCAAGAAAATAGGGCAATGAGTTAAGAATTAGGATAAATAATGAAATAAGAATTCGGGATAAATAATGAAGTAAGAATTCGGGATAAATAATGAAATAAGGATTTGAAATAAATATTTAGGTAAGAATCGGAATTAAAATTGGAGAAAGAATTTATCCTTTTCTCTTCCCTTTCTTTTCTTTATTTGTTTTCTTAACCCGATCCTTAATCATGTTTTCAATTGCTAGAACAACTTCATTCATTGAAGCTCTTTCTGTTACATTTTTGTTGAAAATTTTGTTGATTACAAATTGAGAAAATTCCTTCGGAGTTGAACTATTAAATTCCAATATCTTTCCAGATAATATCTAAAAAATAAAATAAATACTAAATATTGGTTAAGTAAACATACTTGGTTCTTAACTTGACTATTGGTATTGTTGGCATAAGGAGGAGTTTGGCAATTGGCAAAAATTTCCCATGTCATCACGCCATAACTCCACACATCAGTTGTTTTTCCTAGTACTTTATTTTGATAGGTTTGTGGTGCCAGATATCGTAGTGGCAGATTCTCATTGGCCAAAATATTAACAAAAACCACTCCCATCGGTAAAATTCGAGATAAACCAAAATCAGCAATCTTTACTTGATTGTTGGAATACAAACAATTGCGAGCTGCAACGTCTACATGAATAATATTTTTGTTATGCATGTGAGCCAGTCCAGACGCGACATCAAGACACATTTTAATTTTCGTTCCAGTATCCGTGTAATTTAATTGTAAATAATCACATAAACTTCCATTTAAGCAAAGCTCCATAACTAACATAAATGGGAGAGCATCCAATGTTATTCCTAAAAAAATTAACGAATTAATTTAAATTTAATTAGAATTTATTTGGACAAAAAACCCCACTAATTTAATTTTCTTTAATATTAAATCTGTGAGTTTGCTTTTCCCACCCCGAAATTATCACCACAAATTTTTTGGTTGAACCAGGAAAGTTAGTTTTTTCTAATATTAGCATTATAATACTTACCAATAAATTTAACAATATTTTGGTGTTGTAGTTTTTGCATCAAAATTGCTTCTTGTAATAACTTAAAACTCTCATTTTGTTCTTTAACTGCAACTTTATTCCCATTTAATTCAGCTTTTCGAACTACTCCAAAGGCTCCTGATCCAAGAACGATCCCAAATTTTAGACTTTGTTTAGTTAATTCCCACGGATGTCTATTTATTGGAGTAGTAAGAGTTAGGTGTTGAATCTGAAAATTATTAAACAATTATTTGTGAATTTTTTTTTAATTTTAAAGAATATTTTTCAAATTTTACATAGAATTTACCCACCAAATTTTTTTGCTGCATTTCAATTGTTGATTCATTAAATCTTCGATTGTTTGTGTAGTAATTATTGTTAATTTTTTGAAATACTTTATTGCAAAATTGAATTCTGACCCTTTCTGAATTGTAGATAATATTATCTTCTCTGTTCCATCTGGTTTACTCAATCGCAACAAAAAATCCCCATCATTTGAAAGTAATTTAAATGCTTCGGACCTAGGCAACTGAAAAAATATGTTTTTAAATAAAAATTACAAAATTTTACCATTCCATGGTAGAATTGAACTTCCCATAATTTTTCAACGTTCATTATTAACAAAATATTGTAATTATACACAACTAATAATACTTCCAATAGTTCTAATAGTATAAGCCAACAATATTTAAATAATGACGATAAAGAATTAAATAATTATTAAAATTTTTGAAGTCGAGAACGAAGATGAAGAAAGAATGAACAAACTTTTTAGGTTTTTATAGTAAAATATTGACGTCAAAACTTCATATTTAAATATTTTTTACCCTAAATTTAAAGGAAAATTAAATATATTTTGATAATTTTATAATAATGTGTATCAGAGGTGCAGCTCGTGCCACAAAATACGAGACACCAGATTCACGAGATACAGATTCTCAAAAATACGAGAACGAGATAAAACGAGATACGAGACCTCTCAAAAAATACGAGATTTCACGAGATACGAGACACGGGACTAACGCCAACCTTGATGTGTATATAATATTCTTAAAAACTAAAGAGGATTTAATATTTTTGTAAAATATTATTTAATTATTAAACTATTATTTATTTAAAACTAATAAAAAATAACAAAATAACATAATAGAAAGTAAGTTTAAGTAAAGAAATCCTAATTTTTTAAAAATTTATTTATGGTTTCACTTATTTTCTTTGTTAAATTTACTTAATATAAAAAAATGTATGTTTAGTTAAGCTCGTTTATTTTCAAGTAAATACTCCGAATATCAGTTCCGTTGTTTATTTGCTGGTAGGAAAGGTATTTGGGAAGATATTGAATCCTATGTGTAGATTTTGATTATATTTTAAATAAAAATAAAATTTTTGAAATTTATTTATTTTAATTAAATGTTTTGATTAAATTCTTCAATCATTTTTTAATACCGCCTTATTAAAAATTTACTAAATATTTATTCCTTGAAAACAATTAAAAACAAAGCCTTTTAAGATAAACAAATTTTTCTTTAATAAAAGGATTTCGTCATCTCTTTTAGTACTTTCAATTATTTTTTTATTTACATAATTTTTTTTGTTTCCTCCAATATTTATTTATTGTTTATTGTCTATTATAAGAGACACATTCATCTTTAGGAAAAAATTTTATCATTTTAACTTTACTCCCTTGTCTTTTTGAAAATTAAAATTTAAAAGTTTATACAATTTTTTAAAATAAATTACCGAAGATTGATAAAAAAAATAGTCTTTTATTTTCCCTTTATTATTTTAGATCGCTAGTTAAAAACCAAAGGACATTTGTTAATTTCTGTTCAAACAGATGAAACAATTTAACTTGATGAAATTTTTCAGGTTTGTGGTTTAACTTTCAACAAAAACAGCAAAATTTGTTCATAAAAAGCAATCTTTAAGAGTGTAAAATAGTTGCGTTTTAGCACGCCTAATAAAGCAAAACTCGCCAAACATTGTTGACCAACTTATAATTTTCCTTAAAAACATCCATAAAATATTTTCTATTTATTCAATCTCAAAGACAAATAGAGGGCAATATTGGAAAAACAAGGAAATATACGCCAACTTTTACCTTTACATCTTAAACGTAAACCTTGTTTACGTGCATATAAATTTGTTTGAATTAAATGTTTTTATCATGTAATCAAATTAAAATACATTTAAATAAGATAGAATTAAAGAACTTTTTTATCTCTTCGACACTTGATGATTTAATATTTGAATAATATTGAACGGACAATGCGTTTCTTTTTTTCTTCATCTAAATTAAAATAAAAAATATTAGTATCTCTTCATATTTAAAGAAATATCAGTGAACAATAATAAATTTTAGGTAAAACCTCCCTTATGTTCAATTTTTAATTTATTCTCAAAGTTGTGTGTATATTTAATGATTTTTAATTTTTCTATTCAAGAAAGAACAGAGCCAAAATTATTAATATATTCATTAAACCCCCAACCCGTATTTATCCATCTTTAATTTACCATTCTCGCAGTTGGGAATTCCAACAACTTGCCAAAGTCCTCTTTTTGTAAATTGAATATAAAATTTAAAATCAAAATTTTCAATAATTTCATTTTCAAGGTGAAAAGATTTTATAGTTTTATGTCCAAATTGTTTAATAATTAAATTTAATTCAATTTCACACCAACCATTATTGTTGTTTTCTGTTGAATTATTTACTACACAAAACTAAAAATTAATTTAATTTTGAGGAAAGAAATACAAATTACCCCTTTAATTTCCTCACGAGAACTTTCTAATGTCAAAGGTTTTGCTTGAATATATTGCCACAAAAGACAATCAGGATTTGTATTTTCTAAATCTTTTGGTAATTTAGGCAATTCTGGGTCAGGAAATATTAAATTGTTATCAGAATCATTTGTAAGGCGACGAAGACGTTTAATACTAACTTCGGATTTTGCTTCTGGATATCCTGTAGATGTTACTAAATATAATAAAAATTAAAGTTTGAAAATATTAAAAATTAAACTGCAATGATATAATAACCCTGAAGGCAGAATAATTGACTGAATATTTATCCTTTCTATCCAGATATACCTAGTTAGTATATTTATTTGTCTATCCTAGTCTTGAATGGAATTTAAATACTTAATATTGTTTAATAAATCTTTTATTTGATTTAAAAAACTTTTATATTTAGAAAGCTAAAATTATTAAAAGGATCAATGACATTTTTCCAGTAAATATTAAAAATATGTTTACCTTCATTATGAGGAATTATAGCAAAAGTTACTATCTCCTTAATTAAAATTAGCAATAGAAAGAATTGAATTAAGAACATATTTATTTAAAATATTTTTTTATAAATTTTTATTTGTAAATTTAAAATAAAAACATAAAAAGCTAGGTTTTATACTTATACATCTGTTGTACTTTAAATATATAAAAAACCTTCTGATTCACTTAATGTGTCATGAATTTAAGAAAAATAAATATTGTTTTGCTATATTTAATTTATCATCTGTGATAACTCATTCAAAATTAAACAAAATGTTTTTAAATGACTCAATAACCTCCGAATATGTATTTTTAGTGAGAAATATTAAAATCAAAATTTTAATAAAGGGGCTTATAATTTCTTACATTAATACCAATTTTTGAGAAGAACCAATTACAAATCGATCGAGCCAACATTTTTTAAAGATCTTTTGGATATAGTGTTCAATAGTGATTATTAATCACCAATAAAAAATTCAGAACAATCCGTTGACGGGAACATAGATAAACTCAAAAAATTCAAGGGGGTGGGGTATATTTTCTTAAACACTATATTTATACAGTAATTTTCTATCGGAAACAAACATTTGGATAGTTGCTCTCTCATTGTTTATTTTAATTTCAACAATTTCTTTTATTAATTTTCCTCGGCTCACTAAAATTATTCTCTTCATTTTCTTTCCACGAATTTAAATATGGCTCAAAAAAGGAAAATGAGACATCTAAAGGAATATGAGACAAGTGGAAACACCTTAAAAATTAACAAATATCTCGAAAGGGATATGTAGGTACTATAAAAGCCTGGAGTAAAAGAATAAAGAAAAATCTAAATTTCCCCAACTTTATTCAACGTCAATTCATTCTCGTCTTCTTTCTATTTCCTAATCGGAATGGTGGTCTTTCGTCTCTTTCAAGGTAAAAACATGCTTGATTTTATTTTTAGAAAAAAATTATTTTTTTTATCAGTTCATCAACATAACAACATCAACAACAACACCACCAACCATATAAATTCTTTTCTTTTGGCATTTCTTCAATTGGTTTTTCTTCTTTCTATGATGACATCAATTCTTTTAATAACATGCTCTAAGGGCAAAAAGAAGAAAGGGAAAGATGCGGCAATTGAGAATCTAAAAGGGAAGAAGGTTAAATCAAAAGAAGCAATACCGCCAAAGAGTGAAAAGAATTCACAACTTGGAAATTTAAATAAAAAAGTAAATTGAGTAATTAACTACAAATATTTTTGTTAATTTTTTAGGACGAAAAGAAGGGAAAAGGACGAGACCAGCCAAAATCTGATAAGGATACAAAACAAGCACAAAAGGTGGGTGGAAGCAATGAAGCGTTAAGAACTGCGCATATGAAGTCTGGAAAGGGATCGACACTTGGAGGGGGGAAGGGGACTAAGACAGCACAGCCATTTGCTACATTTAGAGGGTTTGAAAAACTTAAAAGAATCACAAATCCTTCCCTTTTTTAGCGTTTCAACTGCCCACCGTGTAGACAAATCGAGAGCTTCAGTCAAGGCAGCGCCTTCAGCCACTGCCATCATTCGAAAGGAAATTGCTGTTGCTGGCCCAAAATATAAATTTGTTGGAAATATTGACGACGAAATTGCGCAAAAACCCTCTAGCGAGTTTGTGCAAGGATTGGGACCGAAACATGCTTACGATCGAACATCACAGAAAAATAAAATTAGGAAGCCGGGGACTGGAAAAGGTGAAAATTGAAAAAAGATTTTAAAAATAAATTTGGGGGAGCTTGTTAATTATAACGAAAATATTTTTAATAATTTTTTTTCAATTTTTTTAGTTGTGGAAGTGCTTGAAAAGAAGAATATTCTTTATGTAAGCGTTGATGCGAGTAAAACAAAATCTATGACAAAATAAATATATAATTGAATTGAGATGTAATAAAGATATAAATAATGTAAATTGTAGAGATAAGTAATTATTGTTGTTGTTTATTTGATTGTAAATAAATAAATATGTACATATGTATATGTAGTGGGGGGGGGGGGGGTTTTAGTAAATATTAGTTTTCTTTTTTTTGACTTTTTTTTAAAGAAAATCCCTCAATATTTTTTTAAAAACATTAAAAATATTCGAAAGGCGTTTTCCCTATTTATCTTTAAATATTCCAAGTTTGTTTTAATAAAAAATAGGGAATTGAAGATTGAAATAAAAAAGAATATTAACTAAATTAAATCAGAATTATTTTCAAAAAATATTCTTTTCAAATAATAATTTTAAATAATTTGTTTTTAAAAATGTTAAAAATTATTTTGTTAACATTTTTAATTTCTTTTCTTTTTATTGTTAAAATAAATGGAGAAGGGGCAACATATCAATTTGAAAAACCTCCCACCAAAAATTCTTCTGATTTGGCTAAAAATTCTTTGGTAATTTATTTTTAAAAAATAATAAATTTTTAATTTTATTTTTAGAAAGAAGAGGGAGGAAAGTTAAAAAGAACTAAACGTTCTCCTCAAGATACTAGTGAATGGGAATTTTTCATACTGCCTTTTGGACGATAAATTAATAAATAAAATTATTAAATATTTTAAATTGATATTTAAAAGATTTTGTATAAAATAACTAAATAAAAAATAATTTCTTTTTTTCTTATTTACAAAACATTTTTTAGAATTTAATAATAAATTGCAAAGAATAAAGTAAATATAAAATGTTCAGATTTGCTGCTTTTTACATAAAAAGTTCAAAAATTTAACGAAAAACAATTTCCGTTAGTGGTGCTAAAGGATTGTTTAGAATCGCCCAAAAACATCTTCCCGTCCCCTCCACTGTTACCTCACCAAATTTTCCCCAATCCTTCCCTTATCCGTGTTGAAACAACCAAGCCTGGTTTTTCGACAGAAAGAAATTTTAAATTTATTTTTTAAATAATTTTTATTATATTTTTAAATTTAGCAACATAAATTTAATTATTTATTGTTACAAAATCTTTCAGCAGCTCAGATCCATAAATTAAATCTAAAAAAGTAATTTTTAACTTGTTGGCCACTAAAAAATCAAAAGATTAGCGCCGTGTAGCGCTAAATAAGAAGATTTTTGGCTTAAATTTTCAAACCAAAAAAAATAGTTTAAATTTTCCGATCCAGACTTCAAAGTTTTATATTTCTATGACATGTACCAGGGGTGCCGCTCGTCTCGTATTTTGTGGCACGAGCGACACCCCTGATATGTACTCCTTAATGGTAGTTGTCAATAAGAAATACACAAATATAAATAAATAATGTAAAATAGTAAAATGTAATTATTATTGTACATTTTTTGACTGAAAATTTTTAATAAATATTTTTCTAATATACCTAATATTCTCAATGTTTTTTTAACATTTTTTGAGTATATTTTTGACTGTTTTTAATTTAAAATTTTATTAAAAATATTCAAAAGACGTTTTTCTATTTATTTTAAAATATTCCAAGTTTGTTTTAATAAAAAAATATTTTCTGTAAGGAATTAAAGATTAAAATAAAAAAGAATATATAAATTAAATCAAAAAAGGAATTAGAATTATTTTTTAAAAAATATTTTGAAAATAATTTTAAATTAATTTAAAAAGAAATGTTTAATAAAAAAATAATTATTTTGTTAACATTTTTTATTTCTTTTCTTTTTATTGTTAAAATAAATGGAGAAGGGGCAACATATCAATTTGAAAAACCTCCCCCCAAAAATTCTTCTGATTTAGCTAAAAATTCTTTGGTAATTTTTATTTAAAATAATTATATGTAATTTTTCTAAATTTTTTCAGAAAGAAGAGGGAGGAGGAAAAGGGGGAGGAAAATCTAAACGTTCTCCTCAAGAATGGGACTTGAATGCTTTTGCTTTTAGTGGATAAAACAAAAATATATACATAATTTTAAATATTTAAAATATATGTAAATTGATATTAAAAGATTTTGTGTTAAAATAAATAAAAAAGAATAATTTTATTTCTTTTTCTTAATTACAAAGTTTAGATTTTAAAATAAACTGTAAAATGTCCAAATTTTCTGTTTGTTAAATAGTTCAAAAAACTTAACAACACCAGCTAATAATAGTGTCCCCAGTGAAGAAATATTTTCTTAGGGGATATACATACAGAGGTTAATTAATTAATTAATTAATTAATTAATTACTCCCTCCAGCGTGAGATCGAAACAATAATTACCCTCTCTCAAATAACTACCCTCTCTAATAATTGCACCCTCCCCTATTTTTCTATACTTATTTTAAAAATATTTATTAGAAATCGTTATAAATTTCAATAATGAAACAAAAAAACTTCCTCCAAAACTTATCAACAGCTATGTAAGTATGGAGCTTTTATGAGAAAAATATTAAAAGAAAATTTTTTTTAAATTTTATCAAAAAATAAAAACATCACCGAGCTTCACTTAATAAATTTTTTGCCCTAAAGAGGGCAGTTTTGGAGAAAGTCTTCAAATAAAGTTGCTTAATTATTCAAAAATGAAGAAAATACATAACTTTTGGGGAAAAGTTATTAAATTTACTCTTGCGCCTACTCGGTCGCGCCTACTTGGACCGCGCCTACTCGGTCTGCGCCTACTCGGTCTCGTTTTTGTTTGACCAGTTATTTTCTTTTTTTTATTAATTTTTACTTCAAACTTTTCAAATTTTTAGATTTTTTAAAATGATAAATAATTGGGTTGATGATGAATTACACAAAATTCTTGGATATAGTGACTCAGCCACTGTTGCTTTTATTATTGCACAAGCTAAGAAATCGACAGATAATGAAGATTTTATAGAAAGATTGAGGGGATCTTTTGATGAAATTACTAATGATGTTAAAATATTTGCCTCGAAATTGTTAGATAAAGTGCCGCGGACTGGTAATTCTTTTTTTTTAATTGAGAGATGAAGGCAGGGATTTTTGTATAAGGACTTTGCTTCTCTTCTACTTTTGATATCGGAACTTAATTAACTTTCGAATTTTATTGATCATTTGGGGTAAAAAGTTAATTTAAAAATTAGTAAAGATTTGAGGCTTTTTGCTTTTATTTAAAATTTTTCTGTTGCTTTTTCTAATTTTTTTAATTTTTTAGTCAAAAAATCATTACCAAAACAAAAAGGATTATCACAATTAGAATTGGAAAATTTAAATATAAAAAGATTAAATGCAACACTTAAACCTTTGGATGACGAAGATGATTATGAACCTTCTACAAGTTTTGATATTGGAAAGAAAATTGAATCAAGAAAGAAAGGAAGAAGTACACGAAAACGTTGGGAGAGTAGTAGTGAGGAAGAAGAAGAAGATATTGGGGAACAACAAAAGGTTTGTTTTAATTTAAAATGTTTTTAGTTGGAAAATGAATTTTTTGGTTTTTGATGTGTATTTTAGTTGGGGAATATTTTAGTAAATTTGGAATGACTTTTTGATAGTTTTTGGAAAGTTTGACAAATTTATAATGTCAAGCGTATCTATTTCTTTTTTCTTTTTATGACTTTCAAACTCCTTAAAATTTACCTAGTAACTTTTTAAAAATCCTAATTAAAATTTTATTTTTCTAGACTTCTCCTCCTGCCAAGAAAGATATAAAAGAAGACGATAAAAATTCTTCAGAAGAATCAGATTTCGACAAATTAGAAGAAGAAACTCAAAAAGATATAGAGGAAAGGGATGCTCTTTCAAAACGAATAAAAGAAAAGGAAAGTAAAAATACTCGTCATATAATGTCAAAATCTGAGGCTAGAAGTTTTGCTGAAGCACAAAAAAGATTAAAATTAGAAAATGAAAGCAAAGAAGATAAAGAAGAAATGTTGAATAAATTACGTTATGAAAGTAGAAAAAGTTATTTAAATAAAAGAAAAGAAGATAAAAGAATGGAATTGGAGGCACAAGTTAGGGATGATGAAACTCTTTTTGCTCGAGAAAGGTTTGGGGTTTTTTTTTGATAATTTTTTTTGTAAATTTATTTGTAAATTTTTAAAATTGAACGGGAATACTGTCAGGGATTTTTTCTGAATTTAATGAATTTAAAAATATTTTGTCTAAAATAAATAAAAATTAAAATGTCCTCATTTTAATTTTTCATAATCTTGTCTCACATTTTTCTAGTTACTAAACCTAAATAATTAATTCTCGTTGATCTCTTTAAAATCAAATAACAAATTCTTATTCAAAAAGTATTTAAATTTTTTTAATTTTTAGATTAACAAAAAAAGAGCAATTGGATGTTAAATATCGAAAAGAAGTTCTAAATTTCGTTAAAAAATATGATGAAGCTGGGAATATACTTAAACAGAAAAGATATCACGTACCAGATACATCATCCAAAACAATTCCTGAGGATTATATTGAAGAACCAGAATTACCTGGAGGTTCTGGACGTTTATGGGAAGAGGAAAAATTAATGGCTGCTGTTTTTCATACAGGAGCTAAGGATGCTATTAACAAGGTTTTCTTGATTGTTTAAAAATTTATGCCATTTTTAAAGATTTAAAAATTCCTTTTCTCTGATATAAATAATTATCTTTTAGAAAGAAGACTTGGGTTTATTATTGGATGATGAACACATAGATTTTGTTGAAGCTTTACAGCATTTGGAAGGAACAAAAGAAAATGAAGTTTTTTTTACATTTTTTATTTTATTTTCTAAATTTACTTTTTAAGGAAAAAGTTTTGTCTGCAGAAGAAAAATATAAATTAAGTTTGCAAGAAACGAGAAGAACATTACCCGTATTTTCATATAGAGATGAATTTATTGAAGCGGTTAAAGAACATCAAATATTAATAATTGAGGGGGAGACAGGTTCAGGCAAAACAACACAATTACCTCAATATTTGTATGAATCTGGATTTTGTTCAGAAAATAAAAGAATTGGATGTACACAACCTAGAAGAGTTGCAGCGATGAGTGTTGCTGCTAGAGTTTCTGAAGAAATGAATACAAAAATTGGGGCTTTGGTTTGTTTATTTTTTTATAACACCTTTACAAAATTTTATCAAAATTTGAGATGTATTCTGTACATATTTACATTATTTTTCCTTATTAAGTAAATTTTTTTAGGTTGGATATACAATTCGATTCGAAGATTGTACTTCAGAAAGAACAAAAATTAAATATATGACGGATGGAATGCTTTTGAGAGAATTTCTTAATGAACCTGATTTGGCTTCTTATAGTGTTTTAATGATTGATGAAGCTCACGAACGAACAGTTTTTTTTCTTTTAAAATTATAAAAATATTCTTTTTTAGTTACATACAGATGTTTTGTTTGGTTTAGTCAAAGATATTGCTCGTTTCCGAAAAGATCTAAAACTTTTAATTTCATCGGCTACTCTGGATGCTTTAAAATTTTCTACATTTTTTGATGATGCACCAATTTTTAGAATTCCCGGAAGAAGATTTCCAGTCCAAATTTATTATACAAAAGCGCCAGAGGCTGATTATTTGGATGGTATTTATTTTATGGAGTAAAAAACTTAAAAGGGAATAAATGAGGTCTAAAATTTTCGTTTGTAGTGTAGTTGGATAGTATTAGGATTTTCTTTTATTATTTAGGAGGTTCGAATCCTATGGTGATAAAAAAATAATTTTACTACATTTTAGTAAAAAAATATGTATAGTATAAAGTAAATTTTTAAATAAAAAATTCTGCATAATCGAATTTCTTTTATAAAGTCTAAAAACTTAATTTTTTATAAAAATAATTTTTTAGCTGCAATGATATCTGTTCTTCAAATTCATTTAACTCAACCTTTACCTGGTGATATTTTAGTATTTTTAACTGGGCAAGAAGAAATTGAAACTGTTCAGGAAGCGTTACAAGAAAGAATTAAATTACTTGGTTCAAGAATTAAAGAATTAATTGTTTTGCCTATTTATGCTAATTTACCCACAGAATTACAATCAAAAATATTTGAACCAACACCTCCAAATGCTAGAAAGGTTTTTTTGTTTATATTAGATTTGGTTTTGATAACCTGGAAAAGGAAATAATTGTGGAAAGATAAAAGAAAAAACTTTTTAATTTTTAATTTTCTTTTTAATTTTTAGTGTGTTTTAGCTACAAATATTGCAGAAACTTCAGTTACAATTGATGGTATTGTTTATGTAATAGATCCAGGTTTTGTCAAACAATCTTCTTATGATGCTAGAGGGGGAATTGATCATTTAAATATTGTTACTATATCAAAAGCTGCTGCAAATCAAAGAGCTGGTAGAGCAGGGAGAACTGGACCTGGAAAGTGTTTTAGATTATATACTTCTTGGGCATATCAATATGAATTGGAAGATCAACCTATACCTGAAATTCAAAGAATTAATTTGGGAAATGTTGTTTTGATGCTTTTAAGGTTTTAAAATTTTATTTTTAGAAATTCTGTGGGGAATTAAGATCTTGTTTAAATTATTAAATAGACGTGATTTTGGTTTGGGGTATATCTAGACAATTCTTTATTCCTTTCTCTTAAAGAGTCTGTAGAATGTTTTTTTAATAAATTATTTTAAGTTTGGGAATTACTGATTTGGTTCATTTTGATTTTCTGGACCCACCTCCATACGAAGCTTTAGCAGCTGCATTAGAACATTTATATGCTCTTGGTGCTTTAAATCATAAAGGAATGTTAACAAAATTGGGTCGAGAATGGCTGAATTTCCTTGTGATCCTGCAATGTCAAAAATGGTTATGGCATCAGAAAAGTAAAGAGAGATTAATTCTTTTAAATATTCTTTTTTAAAGATACGAATGTTCAGAGGAAATTATTACAATTGCAGCAATGCTTTCTGTCAACGCTGCAATTTTTTACAGACCAAAAGCAATGGTAATTCATGCAGATACTGCAAGAAAAGGTTTTTGGTCTGCAGGCGGAGATCATTTAACTTTACTTAATGTTTTTAATAAATGGAGAGAAACTAATTTTTCTTTGCAATGGTGAGCAATTTTTTAAATTTAAATTTGGTTAAATTGAAGGATGTTTTTACTAGAGCTTGACATTTTCAACTTGTCTGGCCCGATATTTTGACTTCCAATCCGACCCGGGCTGACTTCCAATTTTGACTTCCAATCCGAATTTTTGACTTCCAATCCGACCCGGGCCGGGTTTTCCGGGCTAAAACCCCGAAAACCTCGAAAAACCGGATTTTATCAAAATACCCGGTTGCAGGGCTACCGGGCTCGGCAAACCCGGTCTCAGGCCCGGCCCGGGTCGAACTCTAGTTTTTACTCGAAAATAAAATTATCGTGATGAGATAGTTCGTGTTTATAACTTATATATCTAGGGTTGGAGATCATAGGAAATCTCCTGATATCTGGGATTCGCCAACCCTTTCCAAAATTATCAAAGGATTTATTTCAGAAAATAAAAATATATCCCCATCTTTCTAGGTGTATTGAAAATTTTGTACAACATAGAACAATGAAAAGAGCTAGAGATATTCGAGATCAATTGGAAGGTTTACTTGAAAGAGTTGAAATTGAGCCGGTAAAATCGTTTCTTTTCTAAAAAGAATATGCCCCCTTTATAAATTTCCAGAAGTCTTCAAATAATCCATTAAATATACAAAAAGCAATAACTTCTGGTTATTTCCATAATTTGGCTACTTTAGACAAAGGTGGACATTACAAAACAGTTAAACACAGACATACAGTACAAACACATCCAAATTCTTGTTTATTCGAAGACAGACCTAGATGGGTTATTTATTACGAATTAGTATTTACTTCAAAGGAATTTATGCGTGAAGTAAACTTTTTTTAGAAATTATTTAGAAAATAAACTGTTTTTAGATAATTGAATGTGATCCAAAATGGATAGCTGAAGTTGCCCCACATTATTACAAACAAAATCAACTCGATGACATTGCACAAAAGAAAATGCCAAAACAAATGGGAAAAACAAAAGAAGAATTAACTGGAAGTTGATATACTCTGAATTTTTTTGTCCAGTCTGACTGAGTTTATTTTAGTTTAATGTAAAATAATAAAAAGAAATTAATTTTTTGAACTCCCTACCTAATCTTAAAAATTAAGTTTGACAAAAATATCAATTTTATAACAACAAAATCAACCATCTAAACAAATTTTACATTTTTATATGTGATTTTGTTTTTCTTCTATGCCTTTTCTCATTTGTTCAATTGTTTTAAAAGTTTCTGATATCTGTCTAATATTTTTTTTCTAATTCTTCAAATGATATCAGTCTATATATTTTTTGATAATCGCTTAAGGAAGGATGATTTTAAGACATTTAAAAACTTTGTTGGGATTCGTGAGAATGCAATTGTAAGATCACTTGCAAATTATGAGAAAATGATCTAGAATATTAGGCCAACTTTTGGTCGGGCCCAAAACTAATGAATTAAGGAGTTAATTTGGTCGATTTTCTCTCGCTTTTTATGAGGCGCTAAAATTTTCCCTTAAATATTTTTTTTCAATTCTTCAAATCTATTTTTTTAAATTAACACCTTAACAATAGTTCGATTTGCAGCCTCTACGCCATAACAATTTAACATAACATTGATATCGTTTGAATAAATTGTATTAACTCTAAAAATTGTACTTGATTGGAGAAAGCCTTTTAAAAAAATATAAGTTGGAATTCAATTTCTCATTTTCCAAAAATCACATCTTCCCCTTTTTTATTTTTCTAATCTAAAAAAATCCCCCTCCAATTACCTCCAAATTAATTCCTTGTGTTTGAAGTACATATTTGTATCATTTTCTCATTAGTTCTTCACTTCTAATTAGGGTTCGATATTACGGGGCGGGGGCTGAGTTTACGGGGTATCTTGGTTTTTAGTCTTGATTCAAGACTTTTTTGGGGCTTTTCTGTCTTGGTTTGGGGTTAAATCTTGGTCTCGACTTTTGTAATCTTTCTAAATTTACACCCTTTAAGACAAGTAAAACAAAAGAGTTGAGCGGAAGTTAATAGGCGTTAGAAGAAATGAATGTCGCTTATTTGTAAATGCGACAATTAGAATTTAATATTTTGGTTTATTTTTTAAAATTAATTTTCTTTAAAATTCCAATCTTTGTTTTCCAATCTAAAATTACTTTTACCGCGCATCTGTTTGTCTAGGAATTCTTTTATGTTTATTCCTTGTTTCTAACGTTTCCACATTAGACACCTTTTGTTCAATTAATCGTAAACAACTTTCTTCATTGGGTTGGGGTCATAAGGGCGCGGGGCCATTAGGGCGCCAGCACTAGAAACTGACACTTATACGAAACCGAAATTTATAAAAATTTTCTCAAATTTCTTTAACATCATTGACTACCTCCTCAAGAAATTTCAGAATTTTTCATCGAATATTTCTGGAGTTATAGTCGATAAACCGCGAAAAATTAGGGTTTTTTCGGAAAATCAACATTTTTGGCCACAATTTCCGAAATTCCTGATCAAAAATTCTGAAATTTTTGGAGAACGTAGATAAAGGCATGAGAGTTATTAATGCAAAATTTTATCTTTTTTGATAAGCAATTCACTGTTTTATAAGCTCGCGCCCTAATGGCCCCGCGCCCTAATGGCCCAGTCCCTCTTCATTTGCTAATGTAATCTATTTTCTGATCTGCCATTTATCGCACCTGCATTTGTTTTATCCTTTCTAAATTGTTTATATCTTTTCTAATCTTTCTAAATTATCTTTTCTAACCCATTTCCGGCTTATTTAAACTCTTAATTTTCATTCGGGGCTTCGGTTCGTTTTCGTTGGTCCGTTTCATTGGTTCTGTTTCGTTTCTTCGCTCTCTGGCTTGCTTTTCTGGTTCTTAACTTTTTGTTGTTGGCTTATTCTTTGGCTCGCTTATTTATTAATTACTGAACTTATTTAATTTGGAAAATAAATATTTTTAATTTGATTGGAAAAAAAAGAAAGAAAAAGCTAAGCTATTAGAATTTGTCCCTAGGCTTTTATTACAATGAAAGAAATTAAGACAGGTAAAAAAGATTTTCCTTTAGTCTTATTTACAGTGAGCTATGGTTGGCTGGATAGTGTATTAGGTTTATACTTTGGCCAATAGATAGGTGCGGGTTCGAACGTTTTTTTAGTTCGAACGTTTTTAACAAAAAAACAGGGGGAAATAACAAAAACAAACAACACAAAATATCAACAATATTATCACATTTACTTGCCCCAAATCATCATGTCACTTCAGGTCTTCTTAACTTCATTGGTCCTCGTAACGTCGCGCTGGAACTGTCTCGTCTGTTCTGATGCATCCTTCGACTTCAATCTGATGCATCCTTCGACTTCAATCCTTCGACTTCAACCTGATAATAAACATGTAATGAGTTAGAATTATAAAGACGTAAATATAGTGAAAATAGAGCTCAAGAAAATCCTGATAATAAACATGTAATGAGTTAGAATTATAAAGATGTAAATATAGTGAAAATAGAGCTCAAGAAAATCCTGATAATAAACATGTAATGAGTTAGAATTACAAAGATGTAAATATAGTGAAAATAGAGCTCAAGAAAATCCTGATAATAAACATGTAATGAGTTAGAATTATAAAGACGTAAATATAGTGAAAATAGAGCTCAAGAAAATCCTGATAATAAACATGTAATGAGTTAGAATTACAAAGATGTAAATATAGTGAAAATAGAGCTCAAGAAAATCCTGATAATAAACATGTAATGAGTTAGAATTATAAAGACGTAAATATAGTGAAAATAGAGCTCAAGAAAATCCTGATAATAAACATGTAATGAGTTAGAATTACAAAGATGTAAATATAGTGAAAATAGAGCTCAAGAAAATCCTGATAATAAACATGTAATGAGTTAGAATTATAAAGACGTAAATATAGTGAAAATAGAGCTCAAGAAAATCCTGATAATAAACATGTAATGAGTTAGAATTACAAAGATGTAAATATAGTGAAAATAGAGCTCAAGAAAATCCTGATAATAAACATGTAATGAGTTAGAATTATAAAGACGTAAATATAGTGAAAATAGAGCTCAAGAAAATCCTGATAATAAACATGTAATGAGTTAGAATTACAAAGATGTAAATATAGTGAAAATAGAGCTCAAGAAAATCCTGATAATAAACATGTAATGAGTTAGAATTATAAAGACGTAAATATAGTGAAAATAGAGCTCAAGAAAATCCTGATAATAAACATGTAATGAGTTAGAATTACAAAGATGTAAATATAGTGAAAATAGAGCTCAAGAAAATCCTGATAATAAACATGTAATGAGTTAGAATTACAAAGATGTAAATATAGTGAAAATAGAGCTCAAGAAAATCCTGATAATAAACATGTAATGAGTTAGAATTATAAAGACGTAAATATAGTGAAAATAGAGCTCAAGAAAATCCTGATAATAAACATGTAATGAGTTAGAATTATAAAGACGTAAATATAGTGAAAATAGAGCTCAAGAAAATCCTGATAATAAACATGTAATGAGTTAGAATTACAAAGATGTAAATATAGTGAAAATAGAGCTCAAGAAAATCCTGATAATAAACATGTAATGAGTTAGAATTACAAAGATGTAAATATAGTGAAAATAGAGCTCAAGAAAATCCTGATAATAAACATGTAATGAGTTAGAATTATAAAGACGTAAATATAGTGAAAATAGAGCTCAAGAAAATCCTGATAATAAACATGTAATGAGTTAGAATTACAAAGATGTAAATATAGTGAAAATAGAGCTCAAGAAAATCCTGATAATAAACATGTAATGAGTTAGAATTACAAAGATGTAAATATAGTGAAAATAGAGCTCAAGAAAATCCTGATAATAAACATGTAATGAGTTAGAATTACAAAGATGTAAATATAGTGAAAATAGAGCTCAAGAAAATCCTGATAATAAACATGTAATGAGTTAGAATTACAAAGATGTAAATATAGTGAAAATAGAGCTCAAGAAAATCCTGATAATAAACATGTAATGAGTTAGAATTACAAAGATGTAAATATAGTGAAAATAGAGCTCAAGAAAATCCTGATAATAAACATGTAATGAGTTAGAATTATAAAGACGTAAATATAGTGAAAATAGAGCTCAAGAAAATCCTGATAATAAACATGTAATGAGTTAGAATTACAAAGATGTAAATATAGTGAAAATAGAGCTCAAGAAAATCCTGATAATAAACATGTAATGAGTTAGAATTATAAAGACGTAAATATAGTGAAAATAGAGCTCAAGAAAATCCTGATAATAAACATGTAATGAGTTAGAATTACAAAGATGTAAATATAGTGAAAATAGAGCTCAAGAAAATCCTGATAATAAACATGTAATGAGTTAGAATTATAAAGACGTAAATATAGTGAAAATAGAGCTCAAGAAAATCCTGATAATAAACATGTAATGAGTTAGAATTACAAAGATGTAAATATAGTGAAAATAGAGCTCAAGAAAATCCTGATAATAAACATGTAATGAGTTAGAATTATAAAGACGTAAATATAGTGAAAATAGAGCTCAAGAAAATCCTGATAATAAACATGTAATGAGTTAGAATTACAAAGATGTAAATATAGTGAAAATAGAGCTCAAGAAAATCCTGATAATAAACATGTAATGAGTTAGAATTATAAAGACGTAAATATAGTGAAAATAGAGCTCAAGAAAATCCTGATAATAAACATGTAATGAGTTAGAATTACAAAGATGTAAATATAGTGAAAATAGAGCTCAAGAAAATCCTGATAATAAACATGTAATGAGTTAGAATTACAAAGATGTAAATATAGTGAAAATAGGGCTCAAGAAAATCCTGATAATAAACATGTAATGAGTTAGAATTACAAAGATGTAAATATAGTGAAAATAGAGCTCAAGAAAATCCTGATAATAAACATGTAATGAGTTAGAATTATAAAGATGTAAATATAGTGAAAATAGAGCTCAAGAAAATCCTGATAATAAACATGTAATGAGTTAGAATTATAAAGATGTAAATATAGTGAAAATAGAGCTCAAGAAAATCCTGATAATAAACATGTAATGAGTTAGAATTACAAAGATGTAAATATAGTGAAAATAGAGCTCAAGAAAATCCTGATAATAAACATGTAATGAGTTAGAATTACAAAGATGTAAATATAGTGAAAATAGAGCTCAAGAAAATCCTGATAATAAACATGTAATGAGTTAGAATTATAAAGATGTAAATATAGTGAAAATAGAGCTCAAGAAAATCCTGATAATAAACATGTAATGAGTTAGAATTATAAAGATTTCACTTTACACCGGAGACCAATGAGGGTTGAGACCAATGAGGGTTTTTTTTCAATGGAGACCATTTCCAATTGGGCGTCTACTTAGAAGATCATAAACAAATCCTTCGGGAAGGGTACGGCCTTGAATTCATGTTAGAGCAACTTGTTGTCTCGCCAATTGTTAAAAAGATGGGAATCGGCGTATCGCTTGTGCAAAACCTATGGGCATCGGCAAGGAGCTTGTGCAAAACCCGCGCTTCGCACGGGGTCTTACCGCTCTTTCTGTCGTTTCTAAATTGCAATTTAATAGCTGCAAATTGTGTGAAAGTAAAAACGATTTTTTTGCTCCATATAGGTCCTTAATTTATGTTTAAGGGGTACGTGTACAAATAATGTTTTTGAAAACTTATTTTGATATGATCAATTCATTATAGGTATAAATTCATAGAAGTTCGATCGAAAAAATAGGAACCGTTTTTTTAATATCGTTATGCCGGATTTAGGGTTTTAAATTTTTTTAAACCTTTTTTTTGTCATAATACTTTAGTAAATTAAACTAAGTCCATTTACCGGACCGCATTTTTTAGGCAAGACATTTTTTGCACGTTCCTTTCTCCAATGCTAGGGTTTTTTTCTAAATTATTTCGCATCTATGTATATATCACACCAAGCTTACATTTTTAAACAACTATTCCTGAATTTCGTACACGCTGTCTAGAAAAAAAACATTAAGCTAATTTCTTTGAAGAAATTTACTTAGATAAGGTAAATTTTTGAGTAAAGAAAATTTATAAAACCAAATTCATCTCTGAAAATTTTCAAATCTTCTCTATGATAATAATACAAATTTCCTAGAAGTCTTTTTATACTTCAACCCTCTGTTTTTCATTCAAACTCGACTGATATGCTTAAATCTCCTTAATTTTTCAAAACCCTTTGATATAAGTACAATCAATCCACGGTTATTCGCTTTAGTTCTCTAAAACCTGGGAGCAGGCCAGTATACCGCGAGCACAGTATACCGCCGGGCTATAACTTCGTTCAAAATTGTCTAATCCGGGAGGCCCTGGTATGGTTCGATTCAGCTCGTTGAGGCGCATCGAACCATACCAGGGCCTCCCGGATTCGACAATTTTGAACGAAGTTAGCACGGCGATATACTGAGCTCGCGATATAACGGCTGTACCCCTAAAACCTTTGTTATTACTTTAAATCAATCTTTATCTTTGCTAACCACTTTTTAATATCAAACTTTAATATTAATTCTAAATCACTGTTATTCGCCTTAATCCTTCAATATCTGAAGTGAACAAACTCTTGTGATATAAAATTATCTTCTCCTGGATTGGGCAAATCCTTATATCTCAGCCCAAACTTGTCCTATCACAGTGATTTTGATGTCATTCGACTCAGCTCGAGGAGTGGAACATAACAAAATATTTTAAACAAGGTTAATTGGCACTGTTTGAGAATTAGATATTTTAGGACCAGGGACGTCTTCCCTGGGGTGTATGTAAGGTTGGAGGTGTAATGATGGACATTATCCAAAAGGATAATTAAATCTCACATTTTCCCTTTTCAATAAATACATTTTCGCCCGTATTATTCACCTATTTCAGTCTAAGTTAGCACATATTTTATTAATTATATTGCTTGCTTTTCCCTATGAATAGAGACGCTTGATATCTCGCGTGTATTAATATCTGTGCCTAGGCAAGCCAGAGGATCTGATCAACCCTTGGGGCTTCCCGATAGGATTTAGGTTTCTCTTGAATTGAATCCCATCAAATTCACCAAATAGAGTGGCCCATGCTAGCACGTACCACAAAAAGCGTGCTGTGTTATTAATTATATCAACCCCCAAAAAATTTTCAGCCTTTATAAACGATAATGTTTTTAGTCCCAGTGTCTGAAGTATTTAATGAAATTGAAAACTATTCCAGCCCCTTCTACTAGAAGACGTATTTGATTATATTAAAAACGTATTTGATTTTGAATATAAAAGCTAAACAAATATAAACTAGCTAAAATAAATGGAGGAATCGTTAATCCAGATAGATAAATGGTTATTCTAGGAATAAATTGCGAACGCTTTTAATTTTTATTTAAAAGTTTAAGAATCGAAATTTTGGCCCAAACTCGATTAATCTTTAGTAACTTTATTTGGCTGCACTCTTTTTCGATTTAACTTTTTCTTTTCCATTAATATTAAATATCAAAACAATAGTTTTTTTTAGGTATTTTCAATTAATTAATTCTCAAGCTTTAATTATCCTTTTCAATGTTCTATAATTTTTTATGTTTTTAATTTTAAATATTAATTTACTATTATTACAATTATTATTTTATTTTTTTATTTATTTTGTTTTTATTAAACCCCAAAAATTACCACCAAATATTGCAAAACCAACAAATCCTTGTGCAAATAAAGGACGTTTTTTGAATGTTTATTGTTTGGCTGATTATAATTGCAATAATTTAAATAATAAAAATATTATTAAAGTAAAATAATTAATTAATTTTTGGAAAAAAATATTAATTTTGTTTGAAAAGGTCTGTATTCGGGGCCTTTGTTGTACACAAACAAAAATAAAAAAAGAAATGGTTAATAAACAAAGTTTTGAAGATAGAGGGAAGTTAAAAGTTTTTATTTGGTTTTTTAATTTCTTTATTTTCTTGCTTTCATTCTTAATTATTTTAATTCAAAAATTATTAAGTAAAATTTTAGTAAAAATTTAAATTAATTTTAGGTTGTCCCAAGAATGCATTTAATGTTGGAATTCAATGTTTATCAACTAAAGACTGCCAAATTAAAGCAAATTTAAATTTAAAAGTTCCATTCTCTTTATTAAAATGTTCAAAACAGATAGGAATGTGTTGCACAAATGAAGATTATTTAAAACCTTTGACGAAAGGCATTTGGTGTTTAAATTGGGGGAAGGCTTTGGGAAAGGTAGAAAAAAATTAAGAGAAAAATTTTTAAACAAAATTTGGAATAAAAATCAGAATTGTAATAAAAGGAATGGGAGAGATTAAAATTAAAAATCAGAATTTTGAACTCTAAAAATAAGTATGAAATCAGATTTTAATTTAGGAATGCACTACAAATAATGAATGTAAAAGTTTCAAAAGGCCGCAGGCTTCTTGTGTTGATGGGGAATGTTGTACTCGTCCGAGGGAAGTAATTGAAGAGGAGAAGGAGGAAGGTGAAAGTGATTTGATTTTGAAAGAATCAAGTGAAGAAAGTGAGGAAAATGAAAAAGAAAAGAAGAAAAATAAAAGTAAGGAGGAGGATGAAATGGGAAATGAAGAAGATAAATATGAAGAGGATTTTGAGGATTTTAAAAGTTTGGAGTCTGGTGAAGATTTGGAAGAAGATTTTGATAGAGGTGGAAAATAATTTAAATTTTAGTAAAATTTAAAGATAAAATTGAAGATTCAAATGACGATATTGATGTAAATAATCAGAATAAATTTATGACAAAAGAATTAAGTGAAGGACGAAGAATTTGTAGGTAAGATAAATTTAAATATGTTTTGAGTAATAAAAGATTATTTTAAAAAAAAAGTATAGTTAATTGTAAAAAAAATCAGTAAAAAATTATTTTCTTAGGGGTGGGGGGAGATTTATGAAAAATTATTTGCTTAATAATTAATATTTTTTAAACTATAATTTATAAATTTATTTATAAAATCACCAAATTTTTTGTATTTAACCGGCCTCTTTAAAATACTTTTTATTTAAAACCTACACCAACGGTTAGTTAATTCTCCCTCTTTTTCAAGGAGTAAAGGCCTTCTCTACAAAAAAGTTCGAAGATGTTCTCCAAATTTAACTTGTGGAAATAAATATATATTTTTGTGTATTTCTGGTCATTGTTGTTTAAAAAAAGAGGAAAATTATGAGGAGGATTTAAATGAAGGTAGAATACCTTTTGCCCCTTTCGGTTTTTGTCTTTTAACAAGAAAATATCGAAGATTTATTGGAAGATTATGTAATAAAATATCAGATTGTCCCAAAGCTTTTGATGTTAATAGAAAAAGAGTGCCGATTCGTTGCTTGAGAGGTTTGAATTAAAAATTGGATTTTAAGGATTGGAAGTTATGGAGAGGGAGAAATATAAATTAATTAATCTTAAGAGAATTTTTACGTCTCTCAGTTTTTGTAATTAAACAGCCATCGGGATCATTTTTATAATCCAAATTTTCTCGTTGCCAAGCATACCCATATTTATTAAATACACCGGGCAAGTCTTTAATAGAAATATTTTTTGGGGGACTTTTTTACAAATTAAACTAAATTTAATATCTGGACATAAATTATATTTTAAGGAACACTCAGTTAATGATCAAATAATTTAAATTAATGATTTAATAAAGAAGTAATTTTTAGGAGCATGTTGTGCTTCTATGAGTCAAAATAAAAATGTTTGGAATAAAAAAAGTAAAAGAAATAAACTTGGAAATGTGGTTGAAGAAGAGGATAGTTGGATACTTCCTCAAAAACAAAAAAATAATGGTTAAAAATATTTAATTTAAAAATAATTAATTTAAAACTGACATACCCATGGGGTGTAAATAAAATAAAATATTTAAATCGAAAAAGGATTTAAAATTAAAAATTTAAAAAGGTTTTTGTTTTGATGGAACACCAAGCAGAACACAATGTATTAGTCAACGTGATTGCCCAAACTATAATAGACAAATCTGCGAAAATGGAATTTGTTGTTCCCCAAATATTGATCAAAAACAATGTAAATAATAAATTCTTTAAAAAAATTTCTAAAAATTTTTTTTATATGCCTGTGGTGGTTTGCCGAGTTCTGGTCAATGCAACCATCTTTTAGTGGGATTATCTGCAGGTGCTGGTTGTAAATTGAATTTTTATTGTGTTCCGCCCGGTGTTTGTTGTGAATGTAGATTTGGAATGCCTCAAAAAGGGATTAGAGGGTGTACTGATAATAATCAAGTAAATTAAATTTTTGAATTTATTTTGCATGTAAAAACAATCAGAAAAACAAAGAAACAATTAAAGAAAACTAGAAGTTAAAATAGAATTTACTATAACAGATTTTTAAAATTAAAAATAATAAATTTAGGACAGCATTTCCGTTAAGGGATTTATTTTTTATTTAAATATTCCTTCAACTTTTTCAGTGTAAATCAGGCTATAAATGTGAGAAACGAAATGGATTTTGCTGTCCACGATGTCCGGAAGGAAGAATGCCTTTTGGGAGTTGTTACAAAGGAAAATGTGCAAAGAATTATTTTTGTAGCGTTGGAAATATTTGTTGTGAAATAGAAGAGAATTAATATTTAAAAAATTAGAGATTAGCTTGAGAAGATTAAAATTCAAAAAATATTTTTAAACAACAAACAATTTTCTCGGTCCAATCTCTAAATTAAAGAATATTTTTATCGTTTAATTTCCTTCCAATTTTGTATAAAACATTCTAATAAATTCCAAAACAACTCCGTTACTCCATCCAAAACCCGACTGAGGGGGATATTCCCCTCCAAATCCAGTTTGGCCATCTTCAAACCGAACATCATATTTCTCCCACATTTGGGCAGGCTTAAAATTTATTTAAACTTTTTATTTTTAGTTTTCATTGATCAAAAAACCTTTCCTTTTTTTGGATTAAAAAATCCATTAAATGTTGTCGTTAAAAATCCATTAACTATTTTATTTGCAATATCTTTAGCTTTTTCATTGTTTTTACAATTTAAAAGGCTAACAACAAACAAATGTTGTTGTGGAGCCCATCCATTGGGGAAGTCCCATTGCTCACTAGAATTACGTTCCATAGATGAAGGAATTCCTCCTAAAATTTAAAAGTATGGGGTTGATTTTCTGGACAGAAAGCTGGTTTCCCTTCTAATAGGCTCCCCTCACAAGGAAAGTAAAAATTAAGCAAGTCTCATTTTCCCCCCTCATAAATTCCCTTCCCTCATTTAAACCTTTAAATTCAAGTGCTCCACTTTTGTACAAATAATTAACAATTCGATCACAAACATCATTCGGCCTATTCTCCAAAAGAAGGGGGTAAATATTGCTCGGGTAAAATTTATCCCTCAATTTTTTCTCAACCAAATCCAAATCATACCAAACTCCATCTTCTTTGCTATATAAGACTTGATGAATTGAATCAGTCAGATTCTGTGCCATTTCTTGATAATATTTTGCTTTTCTGATTTTTTGTAAATTAAATTTATATTTTAATAAATTTTGTCGGAATTTTTTTGGACGCTAACAAAACTTATTAGAAATAATGGAGGCAATGTTCTGATTTTTTATAAATTTAAGGTGATTCTTTATTTACTTTCACATTATTTTTTATAAAAACTTTGTTAACATGACTAAAGAATCAAATAATTTTTTAAAATTGACACTCGTTATATTTGTTATAAATACTCGGTGTCGAAAACTTCCAAGGGACCATTCACTATTTAATTTACTTACTCATTCTGTCCAATTTCTTTACTTAAATTAGCCATTGTCCAATAATTCATAGCAATAAAAACATTTAAATCTACAGGCAAAACTTTATTTGTTGAAGTCCTAACTCTACTCATTTCATTTCCCTCCCCTCCTCCTTCCCCTCCCACTCCCCCTCCATTTTCTGTATTATTCTTCCAATTATACCAACGAGAAGAAAAGTCAATTCCAGATTCACAAGCACTTGCTGTTGAGGACCAAAAGAATAAAGGCTGTTTACTTTGAATTCCAAGTTGATAATCTTCCAAAAAATTTTCTGAACGGGGACAATTAGTTTTTGTCTAAAATTTAACAAAAAATTTTTTAAAAATTTATTTTTTCCCCACCTTATATTGGAACATTAAATAATTTTTCTCTTTAAATTCAAAAATAATTGAACGATTCTGATTCCACCATTTAAGCTCTTTTTCGGCTAGAGGTAAAAATTCTTGAAGAAAACTTTTATTTTTTGTTATATCAAAGTAATCTTTAATCATTTGAGTAAAAAATGGAGGTTGGCTTCTTCTCGATAATCTTTGTTTGAGGGAAAAAATTATTTTTAAATTAAAAAATAATTACTGAATATTTCCTGAATTTGGAATAAATCCATGGTAATTTAATATATGAGCAAAGTTTTTTAAAACGCCATAAGAGGTTTCAATCAAATTTGAAAAGTAAAGGCCTTAAATTTTTAAATTATTAAAAAAAATTTTTTTTGAAGTTATTCTGATTATACATATAAATGGAGACCCTTTTAAATATAGTAGCAACCCGATCCCCGGAACCCTGATGATTTTTTTGGCAAAAACCCCGACCCGAGCCTCGAAGGCTTTACCCCAAGAGGTCGGGTTGCTCCTCTACTTTTAAAACAGATTTTCTTGTTATAAATAATAATTATACATTTATTTAAAAATATTACCTTTCAATATCCAATAAGTATCCCAATAAAAGAAAACTTTAAAGAAACCACCAGGTACTAAAAATCTATTTGGAACTGAAAGAACAGGGTAAAAATGTTGATTTTTGTAAACATCATCAATAAATTCTCGTGAAAGTAAAGGCCAAATTTGATGTAAAGCAACAGCAAATTTTCTTTTTTTTAAATTAATTAAGAATAGGTAAATAAATTATTTAATTACCTCCATTTAGAGTCATTAATTAATTCAAAATTTTTAGGACTTGGTTGCCAATCAGTCAAATTGGAAGGTTTTATATAATCTGTATTTGCAAAATTTTCTTCACAAAATTGCATAAAATCTCCTTTTTTGATTACTTTTCCTCGAATAATTCTTTAAAAATAATGAAAATTATGATTAATTTAAACGAGTAATTGTTGAGTTATTCAAAATATTTATTCAGATATATGTATTATGTAGAAATGCCCAAGACTGAAAATTTTGGACACTATAAAATTCAATATGGGAATGGTCTCTTAAGAAATATATATTACAAACTTGCGAAAATTTTTAAGAATTTCATTTGGCTCAAAAAGAAGTTTTGTGCCAGGGCATTGATGCTGTACTCCAAAATACCAGGCCGAACTAATTAAAGGACCTGAACAATAAATTGGGGCTAAAGGCCCTTCACAAATTGGCTCTGAACAATTTGTAATAAATCCAGGGGAAGGCTGTTGTTGGTAATTATTTGTTTCTTTTATTGAAAATTGCTGAGGGAAAATATTTTGTTTTGAAATAAATTTTTCAAATAAATTATTTATTATTTTATTATTATTATTTTTGTGGAGGGTATTATTAACAGGAAATATTAAAAGAATATTTAAATATAAAAATAAAAAATAATTAAAAAATATTTTTATTTGAGACATTTTTTTAAAAATTAGAGAAAATAATTTTTATATTTTTAGGGAAAACACATTAATTATTACGGGGTTCTCTGATAAAATTGATAAGAAAGTTAAATAAAAACTGTGTGGACTTTAATTGGAAAGAAAAAGGGAAGTTTTTTTTATTAAAAATATTTTTACACAAATTTGTTTTGACATTTTAAATATTTTGAACAAAAAATGAAGGAAAAAGCCTTTGATTGAGGTATAGCTTTGCGTCATTAGGAAAAGTGATTGTGAAAACATTCCATATGAAGAATGTTTTCTCAATATTTTTGTTAATCCCCCATGTTTTTATGTTTAATGAGAGCTGACTTTATCACATTTTTTACAACTAATTTAATTGAATCCCAGGCAGTTTTCGTATAAAATTTTTTAATTTACAAATTACCTTTTCTTCAATACTAACAAATTGTAAAGTAAATTCATTATCATTATTTCCCAAAAAATAAATGTAAACTTCCTTTATTTCAGATTTTGTTTTAAATAATCCAAATTCTTTTCCATATCTCCATTTCAAAAAATTAATTATAGCAAAAATAAAAATTAAAATAAAAATAAATCCTAAAATAATATAGAATAATAGCCAATGTTTTTTTCGTAGATTTATTGGCTGAATATGCATATAATGATGACCTTAAATGTTTAGAGAAAATTAAAATTTGAAAGTTACTCTTTTCCCAGTTTTGAGGGAAAACAAAGAAATATTTTACTTCTAATTTATCCGTTTTCTCCTCTTCCAAATTAATTAAAAACACGTTCCTTTAATTGAGGAAATTGAGAAGAACTCCGTTTAATTTAATTAATTATTTCCAGTCAATTACTTCCCCAAATATTTTAGTGAATTTAATATATTTTTTAAATAAAAATTATTCTTATAAAAAATTTAAATAAATTTATATGTGAAGAGGGGAATGATAGAGAAAATCAATTTAAAATTTATATGACGTGGATATTTTAAATAAAAAAACTTAACATTTTTTTGTTTTTCGCTGAATATTGTTGTTGGCTATTAAAAATAAATCGAAGTATTTTTAGTAAGATCAAAAACATTTACGTAAAATTATGTAGAGAATAAAATTGAATAAAAATAAAAATAAATTATAAATAAATTTAAATAAAAAATTAATTTACAAAGAATTGTTGTTGAAATTTGCATCTGTAAAACTGAAAAGGATAATTAAATAAATAAACAGTTAATTGTAAGAATAAATAATGCTTTTGGAATAAAACAGATCCCGAAATCGTAAATTTATTTTTCATGACGGCTAGATCCCTGATATATGTATGTACGTATACATACTAATAATATTTATTTCATTAATTATATGTATTTTTCTGCCAGCTTTAATTTTTTTAATACATATATCCCACATATCCCAGATATTCTGCCATATACTTCTTCTTTGCTATATACAATAAATATATGTAATAAATATTGACTATTTTGCTATCTTTATTTTTCTATTTATTTATTTTCCTCATTCTTTCCTTTTGATCATAAATACACTTACTATTATAAAAAATAATTCTTGTTCAAGATTAATTTTATATTAATGAATATTATTATTCCAATTAATTTTTCTTATTTATTTTTCAACTTTTTTCTTCTTCTAAATTATATTAATTGTTTAAATATTTTACAAATTGTGCCAGGCTTCACAAATTCTCATGTTTTATTTAATTATAGACTTGCGGAAGAATTGACTAAATTAGGGCATTCTGTTGTTTTATGGACACAAATGGAAATGAATATGGTGTAGGTTATTCTTAAATTGAGAAGAATTAGTAATTTTGTTATAAATAAAATAAAAGTTTGTAGGGATAAAGTTATAATAAATATAGATTGTGGCAGTCTCAATACCTTAAATAATTCTTGTCCTATTTCAGTTTTACAGGAGACTTTAAATTGCCAGATGGTGTTAACGAGTAAGTTTATATATTAAATACTGTCTTTATAATGTAGTAAATACTCAATAGAATTCGTGAGTCTATTCAATTCAAGGATAAATTGAAAGTTGAGGGACTGAAGGTATTTAATTTTCAATTACGAAGCACAATCTTTATGGGCATCTACAAAATATATTTAAGAGTGAAGCGTAAAACTTATATGTTTGTAGGCAAAATTATTCAGATACGTATGCCCCTCCAATTGTTACTTCCATTATTTTAAATTAAAATAGTAATGTTTATAAATTTTCATTATAAAGGTTTTTCAAGAAATGATTTTTGAGAGATACACAGACATACATCTAGGCTAAATAATCTTAAAATTAAATTTACTATAATTTATTTTGCTGTTTTTTCAGACTTGCATGCCTGGTGTTAAACGTAACGCAGTTCACTTCTCACCAGTGCAATTTGACAGCCAAAAGCAAAAAATGTCTTCTTCAGACACCTTTACCCAACTTGCTGACCAATTAGCAGCAATTGGTAAACAAATGGAAAGCAACAGTGGAACTGATAATGCGACAACAATGCAGCAAATGTTTCAATTTTGCACCACTTTATTGACTCAAATGGCTCAACAACAAAATTTAATTATGGAACAACAACAAACTATTCAAAAACTTCAAATGCGTGACACTCTCCTGGAACTCATTGAAGATGAAAAACAACAAAAATCAGTCGTCATCACCAATCTACCCGAAAGCAATTGTGAACATGCTAAGGATCGTGTGGCAGAGGATTTTGAACAAGTCAAAGAAATTCTTGATTTATGCGATGTGGAGTGTAAACCAAGTCAAGTGTACAGAATGGGAACAATTGCTGGAAGGCCGCGACTTTTGAAAGTGGAATTACCATCGAGGTTTTTTTCAAGAAAGTTTTTATTAAATAAATCAAAATTGAAAAATTCGAAATTTAATAATTTATTTGTTCGTAAATCTTTGTCTAAGGCTCAGCGAGCCGAAAGGTCTAGGCTTATTGAAATTTGTAAAACTTTGCATTCCCAAAATCCTAAATCCGATCATGTTATTTATGCTGACCATGTCCTGTCCGCTAAGGACATCCCTTTATTTAAATCAAACCCCAATAATTTTAAATGTGTTTGCCACAATGCATAAGGAGTAAGGGATGGTCACTTTGATACCTACCAGTTGACTAAAAATAAAAATTTGATAAAAAATAAAATAAAAAGTGGTTTAATAAATATAAGATCAATTAGAAATAAAATGGATGAGTTTTTAATTAGTTTAAGAACACTAGGTTTAGAAATGCTGTTTATTACTGAAACATGGTTAAAAGATGAGGACATAAATTTATTTGAGTTCAAATTTTCAGAATATTATAATATTGTTTATATTAATAGGAAATCCAAACTAGGTGGGGGATGCGCGATACTATTAAGTAAAAATATTACATTTTATGAAAAAGTAAAAATATCCAAATTCAACACAGAAATTATTTGTCTACAAATAAACAATTTTAAGAGATTAAATATAATATTACTTTACCGTCCACCTAACACTAGCTACGCTAGTACAAAATCTCTTTTTAAATACATCGAAACTCTTTGTACCGAAAATTGTATAATTCTCGGTGACCTCAACTTTGGGTTTAAAGATTTGAGCTGGTTTAATTTTACACCTTATGCAAAATCTAAATTAGGTGAATGTTTTATCGATTTTTTTAATAGAAACACTTTAACATCAGTCACACACGAGCCTTCTAGAAATAATTCTTTCTTAGATTTGATATTAATTACAAACCAAAATTTAGTATCAAACGTTTTAGTTGAAGGAGGAATCTTTTCTTCAGATCATGAAACATTATTATTTGATATTAATTGTCCAATAAGTAAACAAAATGAGAATAGAATAAAAAAAAGATTTTATAATAAGAATAAAATAAGCAATTTAAACCCATATTTGTCCCTATTATTAAAAAATACTATTTATACTGGGTTTCTAATTGGGGACAAATATAATATAATTGCTAAGTCAATATTAAATTCATTTGACATTTTCATCCCTGAACAAATTATAACTAAAAAGGATCGAAGAATAAAATATCCCGCTCACTTAAAAGCTTCTATAGCTGAGAAAAAGAGATTATACAGGTTACAAAAAATTAATAAGGAATATAAATCAAAATATGACAGTATATCTCTATATATTAGAATCGCTATAAAAAATTTTATTAGTAAACAACAAAACAAAATCATTTCTAATAATCCACTTAATGTTTATAAATATGTTAACAAAGTTTATAAAAACAATAGAGATATACCAGTTATATTATATGAGGATAAAGTCTATATAGAGAATTTTGAAAAAGCAGAACTTTTTGCAGAAATTTTTCACAAAAATTTTAACAATTTTAACTCTAATATTTCTCGCAATGATATTATTGCTAGCGATAATTCAGATACTACTGATGTATTGAATGATATTGATGTTACAAGTATTGAAGTTTATGAAATCCTAAAAGCCCTACCATCAAAAAACAGCGCTAGCCCGGATGGCATAAATTATCTTATGTTAAAAAATATAAGCATAATATTGGCACCTTATTTATCTGAATTATTTAGAGCTTCATTGGATGAAGGCATTATACCTGACATATGGAAAAAATCATTAGTTATTCCCATTTTCAAAAAAGGCGAAAAATCTAATCCATTAAACTATCGTCCAATTTCACTTACTTGCTGTAGTTGCAGAATCATGGAAAAAATACTTGTAAAAAATATAATAAATTTCTTAGAGAATAAAAAGTTCTTTAGTTCGGATCAATTTGGATTTATTCGAAGAAGATCCACTACTCTTCAGCTAGTAAGTAGCTTGGAGGATTGGTACGAAGCCTTATTTGAAAAAAAGAATATAGATTGTATTTATATTGATTTTTGTAAAGCTTTCGATAGTGTTCCTCACAAACTCCTTCTTGACAAATTATATGCTTGTGGAATTAGGGGAAAACTACATAGGTGGATTAGTGAATTTTTATCAGATAGAACATATCAAGTAAAAATTAATGATGTTTTATCAAACCCGTATGGAATTACCACGGGTGTTCCCCAAGGATCCATTATTGGCCCACTGATGTTTCTAATCTATATAAATGACTTATCCGACGTTATTCCAAACGGAGTCAAAATTAAACTATTTGCTGATGACGTTAAAATCTATAAAGTTTATAAGACTAAAAATGAAAGATTAGAACTAGCAATTGCCCTTAAAAACGTCGAGGAATGGTCAAAAAAATGGAATTTAGATATATCAGTTGATAAGACATTCGTACTTCATTTAGGTAAAAATAACCCAAGGGATCAATATAAGATTTTTAATAATACTATAAATGAAGTTCAATCTATTCGCGACCTTGGAATAATCATAGACGACAAGCTTAGGTTTAAAGAACACATTAATATAATTATTCGCAACGCCTATCTAAGGATGAAAACAATTTTTAGAATAATAAAGTCAAGAAAAACATCAACTTGGATACTGATATATAAGAGTTATATTAGGCCTATGCTTGAATACGCACCGGAATCTTGGAACACTCTTTACAAAACAGAAATTAATTCTCTTGAAAAATGCCAAAAATTTTTTACTAAAAAAGTTTTTAAAAAATGTAATTTACCCGAACTACCCTATGAGAATAGGTTGGAATATCTAAACCTTCAAACACTTGAGAATAGACGAAAAATTTTTGATTTAATGCTTATGTACAAAATAGTTAATGGTTATTCTCACTTAGGACTTGAAACACTCTTTTCTCATCCTATTAGAAAATCTAGCCATTCCTCTCATAGAATTATTTCAAAAAAACAAAATTCTAAAAGTTCTAGATCATTTATAAATAGAACAACTAAAATGTGGAATATACTAGGTAAAAATACTATTTTAAGTAAATCACCCTTAGATTTTAAAAATAAGCTTAAGTCAATACTTATTGTATAAATAAACTGAATGTTCTTAAAAAAATTAATTAAACTCATCCAGTCTATCAAAATACAAAGCTAAAAACTGTATTTTTCGTTTAAATGGGCTTTGCGTCTAAGTGGCCAAATTAAGTTGCCTTATTTTTCAAGTAGGCTGCGTCTAAATGGTCAATTAATTTATTTTTATTTTCGCGTCTAAATGGTCAAATTAATTCATTTTTATTTCCCGTCTAAATGTTCAAATTAATTTATTATTTTTGCCTCTAAGTGGGCTTGGCGTCAAAGTGGCCTAATCGATTTATTCCTTATGCTGTTGTCTGTACTTTTTATACTTAAGCATTTCTTAGTTGTTTGGATTTTTAATTTAAATTTTTTTTATTTTTTTTTAGACTAAAATAATCTTAAAATTAAATTTACTATAATTTATTTTGCTGTTTTTTCAGGTTTTTTTTTCTTATTATGTGCTTTTATTTAAATTAATACACAGACATACATCTAGGCTAAATAATCTTAAAATTAAATTTACTATAATTTATTTTGCTGTTTTTTCAGACTTGCATGCCTGGTGTTAAACGTAACGCAGTTCACTTCTCACCAGTGCAATTTTACAATTAACTTAGTTGTGTATCTGTGTATCAATATCCCTTCCTTATGATTATTTTTTTTTTTGACTATTCAGTTAATTTATTATTATTGACCAAATATCATATATTTTATTTAAGACAATGATGTAAGTGTCCATCCCTTTCATTGTCATTTTTATTCTTGAATAAATAAATAAATATTGTTGTTGGCTATTAAAAATAAATCGAAGTATTTTTAGTAAGATCAAAAACATTTACGTAAAATTATGTAGAGAATAAAATTGAATAAAAATAAAAATAAATTATAAATAAATTTAAATAAAAAATTAATTTACAAAGAATTGTTGTTGAAATTTGCATCTGTAAAACTGAAAAGGATAATTAAATAAATAAACAGTTAATTGTAAGAATAAATAATGCTTTTGGAATAAAACAGATCCCGAAATCGTAAATTTATTTTTCATGACGGCTAGATCCCTGATATATGTATGTACGTATACATACTAATAATATTTATTTCATTAATTATATGTATTTTTCTGCCAGCTTTAATTTTTTTAATACATATATCCCACATATCCCAGATATTCTGCCATATACTTCTTCTTTGCTATATACAATAAATATATGTAATAAATATTGACTATTTTGCTATCTTTATTTTTCTATTTATTTATTTTCCTCATTCTTTCCTTTTGATCATAAATACACTTACTATTATAAAAAATAATTCTTGTTCAAGATTAATTTTATATTAATGAATATTATTATTCCAATTAATTTTTCTTATTTATTTTTCAACTTTTTTCTTCTTCTAAATTATATTAATTGTTTAAATATTTTACAAATTGTGCCAGGCTTCACAAATTCTCATGTTTTATTTAATTATAGACTTGCGGAAGAATTGACTAAATTAGGGCATTCTGTTGTTTTATGGACACAAATGGAAATGAATATGGTGTAGGTTATTCTTAAATTGAGAAGAATTAGTAATTTTGTTATAAATAAAATAAAAGTTTGTAGGGATAAAGTTATAATAAATATAGATTGTGGCAGTCTCAATACCTTAAATAATTCTTGTCCTATTTCAGTTTTACAGGAGACTTTAAATTGCCAGATGGTGTTAACGAGTAAGTTTATATATTAAATACTGTCTTTATAATGTAGTAAATACTCAATAGAATTCGTGAGTCTATTCAATTCAAGGATAAATTGAAAGTTGAGGGACTGAAGGTATTTAATTTTCAATTACGAAGCACAATCTTTATGGGCATCTACAAAATATATTTAAGAGTGAAGCGTAAAACTTATATGTTTGTAGGCAAAATTATTCAGATACGTATGCCCCTCCAATTGTTACTTCCATTATTTTAAATTAAAATAGTAATGTTTATAAATTTTCATTATAAAGGTTTTTCAAGAAATGATTTTTGAGAGTGGCACTCCTTATGAACTTTGGTGGACCGGCAGAGAATTTAAAGTATTAACAAATAAAACTCAATAAAATTTTAAGAAATTGTCAGGAAATGCGTTTAGAAGCATGTGAACAAATGCTTGGAGAAGGACGTGCAAAATTGCTTTCCTCTGTAAAATACCAAAAATTTGATTTGGCAATTGGGCATTTTCATGATTTGTTTGTTGTTTTTAATGACAAAGAATTATTATCTAAATTTTGTTAAAGTTGTCCAGTAGCTATGGCTCGTTCTGTGGGAGTTTATAGAGTAAATTATAAGTATAAAATGATAAAAGACAATTTATTTTATTTTTCACAGATGATTTGGATTACTCATGGCCCTTCACTTTATGATTTTACTTCTTTATCCGTACTCTTCCTTTCTAACGTTTAATTTAAATACCCTTATTTTCAGTTTGGTCTACGAACATTTCCTTCATTTGTTCCACATCCTCTTTCCTTCAATTCAGACAGAATGGTTTGAATATTTTTTATTTTGGAATTAAAGTTTTATTTTAAGAATTTTTTACAACGTTTAATTAATGTTATCTGGCATTTTTCTGGTATAGAATTTGTAAATCTTCCAAATGGTTTTCTTAATCATTTAAGAATTTCAATTATTATTCTTTTTCAGTTTTACTTCACGAAGAGAATTCTCTATACAAAAAATGTTTTTTTTTTAAATTATATTTTAAAAATTTAAATATTTTTAAAAGTTTTTACAAAATCTAAAAATCTTTGGAGTGTTGGTCAACAAGTTTCTGTTCTTTTATTAAATGGAGAACGTTTCCTAGATTTTCCAAGGCCATTACCTACATTTATTTTAAATTTGGGTTCACTAGCTTCTAAACAACAAAAGTTAAATAAATTAATTTTGGATTCAGAGATTGAGTCTATTTATTCGAAGAAGGGAAGTAAAGGTTGGTTGAGGGCTTTGCATGGCCCTAACTTTATGATTTTCATAAAGTGTAGGGATAGATCCACCTCAAAATATATTGGACATTTTTAACGAGAGTAAAACAATTTTATTTTAGGTGTTGTCATCTTTTCAATGGTTTCTATTATGCGTTTTACATTTTAATCATAACTGGAATTTTTAGTCAATTAAATACTACAAGTAGTTGGGTAAAATAATCACAAAAATCCAAAAAAAATTTCGTTATGCCGACCCAAATAAAAAACTTCCTTTGACTAAAAATCCCATCCTTAATTACAATTAACTTTTGGCTATTAATAAAAGGGGACAGTATCAAACACAACAAATATGCCTTTGCGAATGACCAAAAGTTTTTTGAATGCATTTGGTCGAATTTCTGAATATGATTTTTTGTGGAAGACTGAACAAACAGAGATTGAAGGGATTGAGGTGTTTAAGAATGTCCATTTACGTCGATGGATTAATCAAAAAGAATTAATTAGTTTGTTAAAATTAATTTTTTACAAAATCTCCTTGACAAAGTAACAAATATCTTAGGAGATTTACTATTTGATTTAAGGAAAATTTTATTTTGAGAGCCTATAATTATCAAGTAACTCTTTGGGTATTTTTTGAGTTATAATTTGTTATTTGGAAGGAATTCTCTTCTATTTTAGGCCAAGAAAGAAAAGTCCCTCGAGATAGGTTTAAAATAAAACGTTTCGAATGCAGAAATCTCTCCTAAAAATAAAAACCTTTTTAAAATTAATTTCCCTAATTAAAAACTCTTTTCCAAAAGAGCATCCAAAAACTCGTCTTTTATTTGCCCATGGAGGTTATAGCAGTTTTCTTGAAGCCGCAAAGACAGGAATTCCTATTTTGCTTGTCCCTCTCTTCGCCGATCAAGGCATTAATGCAAAACGGGCACAACGGTTTGGGATTTGTGAAATTCTTGACAAAAAAACTTTAAATGATAAAATTGTTGAAGAATTACTTCGAAAAATGCTTAATGATGATCGGTTAAAAATTGTTGTATTTTTGTTATTTATTTAAATATTTTTTCAGTTATTATAGAAATGCACGCAAACTTTCGGTATTTTAAAATAATTAATTGTCAAAGGAATATTCACATAAATTCAATTTTTCTAGGCAATGCTTGCAGACAACCCCCCTTCCTCCCTTTCAATGCCTTCCTTAGAATATGGTTTAAGGTTGGCAGTATCATCAAAACCCGATTATTTTTCTCTCAAATCAGCCCAAAAACTTGGATTTTTAGAATATTTTAATGTTGATTTAATAATTATTATTTTTATTTTAATTTATTTTTTGTCTTTTTGAAATTAATTAATTTATAAAAAAATACAATTAAAAAATTATTTTGTAAGAAATATTTAGTAATATTTACAATTTAAATAGTGCAAATAAATATTTAATTTAAATTTACATTTTCGTTTAAATTCCTCCTTTCATTAATTCACTTTATTTATTATTCAGTTGATTTTAGGACTGAGCAATTCCTTTGGGTCTAATCTTGTTTCTAACGAGTCGGTTACTGAATAAAATTCTTTATTATTTTTAATAAAAGATTTTTTGATAAAGGGTTATCTTTAGGGGTTCTTTTGCCAACAAAATGTTTTAATTTTCCCCTCTTGAAAAGTGAATAATTGGCAGAATTACTTCTCTTTAATTTCATTTTATTTTTCTATGGCATTCATTTACTCAATAAAATTAGAAATTTGACACATAAGAAATGAAAGAAATATTTTTATAAAATAAAACAAACAAAAATTTTATATCTTCCCATCTAAATGAAAAATCCTTGCAAATACATAATTTCGAATAGTATTTGCAGGGATCTCCTTTTTCTAATCCTTCATTGAGTAATTAAATGTCATAGGAAAATAAAATAAAATTGAGGAAAAAAGTTCGCTTTTTGAGGAAGGAAAACCAAAAAATCGGCAAAACAGAAATTATTACCTATATGAAAACAAAATTGAAAGGAATTTTTTTGAAAAGGGATTTTTACATTTGTGAATTCTTTCAATTTACATATCCTTCCATTTTTTAAATAAAAAATTGTTTTTTTGTTTTCTAAGCCCAAATTTAAATATTTAAAAAATTAAAACCTAATTGGTCGATTTTTGGCCCCAAAGAAAGTGAAAGAACAACCAAAACGATAGCAATTACCTTAAATATTTAATAAATTAAACGTGCGTTTTGATCTTTCTAAAACTTTTTAAACTTAAGAACTAATATTTTCTTTTTTTTATTAGAGCCAGAACTCTTCAAAAAAATTTTTTTGGTATAACTAATGTGTAGTGAAGTAGAACAATTTAAGTTTTTCAAGGGAATTTGGTCATAATTTTGTTTATAATCATCGTATCAATTTAAGCTTGGTTCAGATATACAATAAATAACAATAAATTTCACGTTTTTTAAGCTCGAAAAAAAGTTTTAGTGAAAACAAAATTCGTTCTATATTTTATTTTATAAAAATTAAATACAAACCGTTAAAAGAACTGTTACAAAAATAATTACACGTTTAAGAATTAAATTATTTTCATTTATTGTTGTTGGAACTTTATCCATAAAATAAATATAGGTAATTATTTTGTGAACAATTTATTTTTATTTTTACGAGTGAAGAATTTTTTTAAGCTAAATAAAATAGTAAAAAAATTTTTTTAGATTTTCTTAGAATATTTAGTAAATTAAATTTTTTATAAAAATATTTTCTTAAATAAATTTACTTTTTATGTCAGAACTTTTTTATTCTTTGCATATATGTGGCAGTTGAATAACTCAAAAGGTCTACATAAGTATGCAGAATTTATGTATATGTGTGTTTACATTTAAAGTTTCCGCTCTTGAATTTTAAAGTTTTTTACGGTTGATTTAAATATAGGTAGAAGGTTAATGCTTAAAAGGAAGAGCATAAACAACTAAAGAAAGGATAAATTGAGGTAAGAGGAGTGAGTATTTGATAAATATTTATGTAAAAAGTGGAAAAGTGTGTCTGAGTAGGAAAAAAATTAAATTAGAAATTGACAGAAAAGTAGTAAATATTTTTATTTATTTGCCAGCTTCTCTAAACAAATTTCATTAGCTTTCTTTATGTTTATTCGAGAGGAAAAGCGCCGCTTTTAAGAAAAATAAGAGAAGAAAGTTAGCTTTGTTAAAAATTAAATTTCTTTCTCCTTTTCTTCTCTCATATATTTACTAGTTCTTATAAATTATTTAAATGTTATGGCATCTGTATGGGTCTTATCTTCTGTCTAAACAAGCCAACGTTGACTTTTTTGAAATTTGTAGTTTCATTACAATGAAATATTTAAAAATTTTTATTTTTAACATTATTACAAATTACATTGACAATTAACAAACAAAAATATTTAGGGGCACAATAGCAACAACAATAATTATCACATCATTTAGAATATATTTATCATCTCCTATCCTATCTTCCTTCCTCTTTCTGCCTTCTTTTGTTTATGGCTTTTTCGACGATGGGCCAGCACAGTACGCAGACACATTGCAGATACTTCCAATCAAGAGAAAGCTTTAAAAAAGAAAAGAAAATTATTTTTTCCTTAAAAATATCTAAAAAACTTACGTTCCCAACACCGTTCCAAACCCAACAAATCCAGAGATGGCATAGTGCTTAGTTTGGAACTCGCATTCATCGGCAGAGACAAGTTGAAGAAGAATGGCAATAGTGACCACAACCATTAGGGACACAAACTTTCCTTGCACCATTGTAGCAGTTTCCCTTTTGTTGTTGTCGTCGTTGAGCAAATAGATGAATAATACAGAACGATATATTTTTGGGGATTTAGATTAATTAGATATGCTTTTATAGTTTTTCGAAGTTTGATTTTTTCACATCAAAAAAATCTCAATTCTTTAAAACCGTGCAACTCAAATTAAAAATAAAATTAATTAGTTTTGAGCACCGGGTAGCTCAATAACCTAGTAGCTCAACAATGTTCAGCATTGACTGGACAAGCTATGACAAAACTTGTTCGATCATGGTGATTCTGTTTCATTCAACTTATATTAAAATTATTTTTTATTCTACATTTAGGTTTTCAATAAAAATAAAATTTATTTATTTGATTTTTTTAAATATTCACCATCAGTTTTTAATAAAAATTCATTTTTTTAATGAAAAATTTATCTAAAAGTTTTTAAAATAAATAAAATAAAATCATTTTATCATCAAATAAATAATTCTTAATTTAAAAATCAGAATATTTATTGTCAAATAAAATCAGAATTTTTAAAATTAAATTTAGAAAATCGGAATTATTTTTAAATTTCAGAAAATAAACTTTAAATGACAAATTACAAAATTATTCTATTTTTGATATTTAATTTAATATTAATTATTAAAATAAATGGAATTGAGGAAAAAGAAAATTCTCTTAAAAATTTAGACGGAAAATATTTCTATTATGAAGTAAATTTAAATTAATTTTTAAAATTATTATTTTAGACTGATATACCATATAAACGATCTAAACGATCACAGAAAGTATACAAAAAAGCTGAAAGAGAGTATCGTATTAGAGGTATTAATAATTTTTAAATAAAATTTTTTTTAATTATTTAACAAAAATAATTTTAAAGATATGAGCAGTTCACAATGGCAACAACGGCAACGAGGCAAAAAAGTACCTAAAACTGTTTGGGATCCATAAAACAATTAATTAATAATTAAAAAATAATTATTTAAATTTATTCAAAAATATATGTAAATAAATTTATTTGGAATATTTTTGGGTAATTACTTATTTAAAAAATTAAAAAATAAATAGATTTAAATTTATTTGAGTTTAAAATCTAAAATTAAATCTTATTACGAAATTTACGAAAAATTGTTTGTTAAAATAAGATTCATTCAAAATTAGAAAACTTTCCGACTATTTTTTTTCTTTTTCTTTAAATTCCTTTAAAATTTCTTTGAATTATCTTTGGAGAATTTGGAGAAACTCCAAAAATTCTACTTGATACATATGTACACATATTAATACACAAATTTTGTTCTTATTTTCTGTCTAATAAGAAGATAGGAAACTCAATTTTATTTATTA